CTTAAAAACAGTTGAACAAAATTTACCGTTTTATTCTGTTTCACAGAAAAAAGGGGCTAATATATTAATAGAGGGAACCAAATTGCCTCAATATGGTCAGATCTGTTTTGAAAAATATATTCTTGATTTATCTCCTGCTAATCAATTTGTGAAATTAAGTACTGGTGAAGTTGTTAAAATTTATAATTTTGCACATTCGTCATCTAATTCTGAAATTGTTGTAATTGGGAGAACATTCAAAAATAGTGAAGACTTCTATCAAAAGCCTTGCCCATCATCAATGCTGGGCATATTTTATGTTGAAAAAGAATATGATACTCTTTGCTATTGGTCCCTTAAAATAATCAAATGTAAACTAGTTAGTCTGCCATACAAAAAAGGATTTATAGTTTATCCGCTATTACATATAATACGCCTTCGACGTATTTCCGATCGAGAGGTAGAAGAGGCTGTTCAAGGTCAACATGATTCAGATGTAGCCGAGCGTTAGATTGTCGTCGGGTGAGTTGGGGGTGAAGAGTTTTTCCCAAGAGGTGCCTAGAGTGGAAAAAACAATCATTTTGGATTTTTGGAGGGTTCTAAATGATTTTGTAGCGTTCTAAATGACTGTGGACCGTTCCAAATGGTTCTAGACAGTTCTAAATGATTCTGGAGCGTTCTAAATGATTTTGGAGCATTCTATATGATTCTGGAGCGTTCTAAATGATTTTGGAGCATTCTATATGATTCTGGAGCATTCTAAATGATTTTGGAGCGTTCTAAATGATTTTGGAGCGTTCTAAATGATTTTGGAGCGCTCTAAATGATTCTGGAGCGTTCTAAATTGTTTGAGACAGCTTGGCGAATAAGCGGAAATTGGACAATAAAACCCAAAATTTATGTTAAATTTGGCAAAAAAAGGCTTAAAAATTTAGATTAAAAAGTGCGCGAAATTTTACAAAAATATGGCGTTAAAAACTGGACAAAAATGAGCAAAAAATGAAAAAAAAATTGAGAAAAATTGGACAAAAAATGCTCAAAAATTGCGTAAAATTTTGAGAAAAATTGATCAAAAAACGACGGAGAATATTGACAAATGACGTCTGAAGTATGTCTTAAGTTGTCATTGTCCGAACCGTATTATACCTGGGGTGCTATTCTTGAAATTGGGAGATTTTGTCACATGTGAGAATTCTTCTTTTTTGTATTTTCGTCGAAACAGTGTTGTCTTTACTCGCTAAATTCAAGATTTTGCGGATTTCTTAGGATGTCTAAGATCAATACCTAAATTTTGAATGTATTGTGATTAAATTGGTTATTTAATTATCAATTTTCATCTATTTTAGATACAATAAATTGTTATTAGCTACAATTTAATGCGTACTTTGTTAATTATTTTTATTGTAATAAATTGCAGTCTAAGACTGCCTTGTACGGAACGGTCATTAAGACATCGGAAACCGAACATTTTTCAAAAAACCCTAAAAAGTTAGAACAATATAAATTACATATACACTGTGTTATTTATAAGATGCGACATAGGGATTCCTATACAAATGTGTCAAAAGCAAGCAAACTTTTTTACCAAATAACGTTCATAAAAAATAATAACAGATTTGAAAAGATCGTAAAAAAATAAGTCGAAATGGACATTACATTTTCTTAAATTCGTTCTGGTTTATTAAAAAATTGTATAATTAAGTTGAAAAAGTCATCCGTCATAAATAATTCCTTTTTATAACACTATCTAATTTTTTGCAAAAGGGGCGGAGCTAACAGAGATGGTTAACGCTCTGCAATTTGAATAATTAATTTTTAAGTAATGTGGTTCAAACCGCGCTTGGGGCAATATTTTTTTTGTTTTTTTTTTCGTTTTTTTTTATGTTTTTGTCTAAAAAAATGTTAAATAAAAGTATTTAAAATAAGACAAGCTTATTTGAGATTTAATTTTATTTTTATTTAAATAAAAGCTCCGGCAATTTATTGTCAATTTTGATAATGCAAAATCTCGTTAGTAAGTAGAGCCTTTAAATTAATGCCATATTTTTATTAATGACAAAAAAACATTAATAAAAACAAAAATACCAAAAAAAAACAGAAAAAAATTTCCGCACTCGCGATTTGAACCACAATCCTTCACCTCGAAATTTTCGAATTTCAGAGCGTCAACCAACCCTGTTAGCTCCGCCCCTTTTTACATTTATTAAATAGTGATATAAAAACGAATTATTTATGTCGTATGACTTTTTCAACTTAATTATACATTTTTTTTAATAAACCAGAATGAATTTAAGAAAATTTAATGTCCATTTCGACATATTTTTTTATGATCTTTTCAAATCTGTTATTACTTTTTATGAACGTTATTTGGTAAAAAAGTTAGCTTGCTTTTGACACATTTGTACAGGATCTACTACTATGTCGCATCTTATAAATAATACAGTGTATGTATATACCGTGTTGGAAAATTTTTCGCGCATAATAGGGAAATCAATGTTAAATTCTTAGCCGGCTGAAATACAGTCTACCAGTGTATATTTGAATAGAACGTCGCGATCAATTCTAATAAATTTAATTGTTCTACTGGACTTCACACCGCGCTTTGGTTTGGTTTGGTTAGATTAAAAATCAAATAATTTCGACGGTTTTGACGCTTCGACAGTATCAAAACGGGTTCGGATGGACGAACGTCGAGCCGATTAAAAAGAAATGAGAATTTTTAAACGATAATTTATTGAAAAAATATCACTAATAATAAAATAGAATTATGTAGATATGTCTTTTTGCCACAATGGCTTGAAAAAGAAAGTAAATTCTAAGAAAATAATAAAAAGAATACTCCAAAAATAAACTTAAAGATTATTTTAAATTAGAAAATAAAAGAACTCTAAAAAATAGTCCACCGCTTTCTGCTAAACAATAGCCAAACCTGTCATACAGATGTCATCTCATATTACTGAGCTGAGGTGTAATTTTAAGAAAATTGAATTATTTTTTCCTTATTTTTCCTTATTTTAACAAGATTTGTTGCTATTTCAAAACTGTACCTACCGATACACACATTTTTTTGAAATATCCCCAAAAAACCTATTAATTGTAGTTTCTAAATAATTTTGTACCTCATACCTAACACAAATAACTTTGTACCTCTACAAATCGCGGCGTGCGATCCAGTAGAACAATTAAATTTATTAGAATTGATCGCGACGTTCTATTCAAATATACACTGGTAGACTGTATTTCAGCCGGCTAAGAATTTAACATTGATTTCCCTATTATGCGCGAAAAATTTTCTAACACTGTATACAGTATACCAAAAAAGTATTCGTACACTCGTATTATAATCATTATACGTGTAATTACCCGTTTAATAAATATACAAATGAAAAAACAATTAACAGGCAGATTTGGCTCCATTCGATCCAAAAATGTTATACTTACTCTCATCTGACAATATAACCTGGTTCCAGAACTCTAAACGTTTATTAATGTAACGCTTAGCAAACTCCACTCTTAGCTTTCGATTTTTCTTATTTATCCTTGGCTTTTAGCAGGTCTTCTTCCTCTATATTCTAATCGCTTAATGTGGTATCGAAGAGTTTCCGGATGGATCTTATGCCATGTATTGGATTCCAGTTCAGAAACGATGTTTGGAGCACTTACAAAGGGAATTTTTTTAACTTTTTGATAAATGAAATTCTGATCTCGTTGAGTTAACTTGGCAGTACCTCCCGATCTTGACTTATTTTCCACGGAACCAGTAGATTTATATTTTTTCACAATGTACTGAACTGTAATATGTGTTTTTTGAACAATTTTACCTATCTCCTTATATTATTTTCCTTCTATAAAATGATGGATGATGACTTTTTTAAGTCACCATCTATTTCTTCAGTTTTTCTAGGCATTTTAAGGTAAACTTGAATTATTTTGAAAACAGAACTAGGAGCTCAACCTAATACTAATATACCGGCGAAAACAATAAACAATTTAATATCTACAGAGTGAAGAAATTGATAAAACGTTGCTGTACGAATACTTATTTTGGGGATAATGCAAACATTTTTCGTTTTTTTTATTTTACATTTTTAATAACAATGTTAATTAATGATTGCAAGAATAGTCTTGAAATGTAGATTTTAATTTGCTAGTTACTTCTTGTTTCTGTTTACTGAACGCGGACTTCCAGAACATAATGCAACTGTACGAATACTTTTTTGGTCTACTGTATGTGCAAATCTCACTTTTTCTGTCAAAAATCTCCCCGGCTTATTTTTGGTGAGATTTTTCGTAAGATTTCGCTGTCACTTGTAGAATTATTTCGTGATTGTCTTGGACATTTTTTTGAAGGCCACTAAAATTGTAATCGGTTATTTATTTCCGATTGTTTTAATGTTTTGTTTTATCAGTTAGGTTTATTTTAGTATTTGAGTAAAATTAAATATTTGTAGGTAAGTAATACGCATATTTGTTTTTTCATGTTTTTCAATAAATTGTACTTTAGTGTTTAACGCTTTTTGTAATTTGTTGCAGTACAAAAATGGATGATAATTTTGTTGTATTGCATCATATGATTATGCAACTTGAAGAGGAGCTAGATGATGTTGAGGATGATGGCATAAGAGTCTTTGAAAGAATTAATCCTTTCCTTATTTCGGACACGAAATTTGTCAAATTGTTTAGACTGTCCAAAGATTTGGTTCGTCAAGTCATAGACATGTTACAACCATTTATGGGGCAAGCAACACGTACTTCTGCGATAACTAATGAAATGAAGGTATAGTGAAATAATACATAAATAATTTTTATTTGTTCATTAACGTTGTATGTTGTAGGTGTTTATTGCCCTCCATTTTTACGCACATGGTAATTACCAAGAGTTTTTAGAGTTTTTAGAAAATCGGTGTTTTTGAAGGTAATGTCGAAAAACGCCATCTTGCGACCAAGCAAGCAAATTAAATAATATCTTATATTGTGTAAATTATAGACCAAAGAAAGCCCTTTTCAACAATTTCATTTTTTTAAAAATCGGTTCAGCCGTTTAAAAGTTATTAACATTTATTAGTCAAAATATTCAAACCGCCCCCACCACTTTATTTTAAAAGATAGAGTAAACAATATATAACAAAAAATAATCGAAAATATCTTAAATATCAAAATAAAACACATTTTTGATACCTTTATTTAGGAAAATTTTGAAAAAAATGACTTTTAAAAATCAAGATGGCGGATACTCCCCCTAGCGGCCATTTTAGAGACCTAAAAATTATTTCCAGCATTTTCTTTTGGGCGGTTTAGTCATAAATTTTTTACCGCAAGTCTCTACGACAATTAGTTTGCGAGATATTGACGAGAGCCATTCTTAGAGCACCACCCTGTATATAGCGTTGCAAATAAACACCTCTCCCGTAAATCGGATTGCAACCTAATGCATTTCTTCTTTTTAATTTCTAAACAATGAAAGTTAACATAACCTTAAATTAAATATATCAGTCACATCAAGATATTCATTTCAATCCGGCAACGTTGCAACATGTTGGCTTGTGACGTCACAGTCAATTCGATCGAACGCTCGGCGTGATTTTTTTTTAAGGCCTTTTTAAGTGACTTCTACATGGAATTTAATTCTGATTTTTTCCATAGTGACTTAAAATTGTGTGGTCTTTCCAAAAAGCAAATAAAAAAAACGTGTCGAATGAGCCCATTTGCAGTACGAAAAATCGAAAAAAAATTTGTGTATGCCGTTTTATTCGTATACAGATTGCTCCATTTTTCATTGCAACATAGGCTGTGGGTGCAACAAAGACAACTTCAATTAGACACTTATAAAGGAAAATGAAAGAGTGAGTGATTTGTTGTCATTGTAACTTTTGCACTCTGACAAATGTTATTTTACAATTATTATATATTTATATATTTAGAAAATAAATAAATTACTTACATGTTATATTCGAAATGTACACGATTACGATTTTAACATTTTTTTTTTCGACAAACATATAAATCACCAGATTTAGTGACTTTTTCAAAATACACAATCTAGTAATTTCCCCAAAATCTAGCAATATCACCAGAATCTAGTAATATTACCAGATTTTAGAAAAATCACCAGATTTAGTGACTTTTCCAAAATCTAGTAATATCCCCAGAATTAGTGACTTTTTTTAAATTTAAAAATATCACCAGGATTTACTAATGTCCCGAGAAACTAGTAATATTACCAGAGTAATAAAAACCACCAGATTTAGTGACTTTTTCAAAATCTAGTAATATCACCAGAATCTAGTAATATTACCAGATTTTAGTAAAATCACCAGAATTAGTGACTTTTTCACAACCTAGTAATATTACCAGAATTTTGTAAAATCACCAGAATTAGTGACTTTTCAAAACGTAGTAAAATCCCCAGAATTCTAATTCACACATTAAAACTAATTGACACATAATTTATTAAAAAAAAAAATTGTTTTTTTTTTCTACGTATAATCATCGACTTCATCATCAGTATCTTCTTCCAGATTGGTTCCTCTGCGAGACAACAAGCTGGACGAGCAGCGGTTACGTAACCTAAACAAAATTGTACGAAATAATTCGCATTAGAAATAACGCAAATATCTTTTTTTTTTCCCAGTGTATTAGCGACACTCGAATCGCCGTTACACTGAGAAGAAAATTTTCTTGTTGTAAGGTAAAGTTCGTACGTTTTATTTTTTTGAAAATGACCACGATGACGTCACGGGTCGGACTGTTGCGACGTTGCCGGATTGTCTTTAAAATCCTTTATGTTACTGAGGTATTTAATATTAGCTTATGTTTACTTTTCAATGATAAAGAATTAAAAAGAAAAAACGCAAATAGTAGTTTGTGAAAAGACATAGAAAAACGCGGAAGAAATTGATAAAGGTACAGAAATCGCTCGAAAACTCAAAAACGAAATCATTAAATTATTTAGAATGCTCCAGAATCATTTAGAACTGTCTAGAATCATTTAGAACGCTCCATAACCCTTTAGAACGCTCCAGAATCATTTAGAACTCTCTAGAATCATTTAGAATGCTCCAGAATCGTTTAGAACTGTCTAGAACCATTTAGAATGCTTTAGGACCATTATGAACTCTCTATAACCACTTTAGAAAGCTCCAGAATCATTAAGAACTCTCTAGAATCATTTAGAACGCTCCAGAATCATTTAGAAGTGTCTAGAATCAATTAGAACGCTCCAGAACTATTTATAACGATCCATAATCATTTAGAACTGTCTAGAATCATTTAGAACTATCCAGAATCATTAGGAACGCTCTAGAAAAAAGACAAAAATCGCTGTGAAAGTCACAACAATAACAAAATATAGTCACAACGCGTCAAAACTACAAAGAACCAAATTTCGAGATTAACGATATGGCAACAAAATTGCAAAAAAAATCCCCTAGTTGTCAAACTAGGGACATTTCGAATTACCAAAAATATTACCAAAAACGACGTCACATCGTCAAATTTTAAAACGTACGAATTTCAACTACATTTTAGAATTATTATTACCTTTTTTTTTCTCATGCAATTTTTTTGTTTTTTTATCGCTCCACCATTATTTCATATAGACGACAGATTAAAGCCATGCAACTGAATAAAAAAAAATATAAAAAAATAGAAATAAATAGAAAATAAACGGGAAATTAAACAGATAAATTTCTTTTCGATATTTTTTTTTTCAATACTTACGCAATCGTTTTCATCGAATTGCGCCATTTCTTCCCCGCCGTCTTCCTTTTCCATACTATGCGGATAAAAAAGAGATAGAAGAGAAGTTTTTAGTAACCGACAAAATGCCCCGTGTATTAATAAAATACAGTGATTTCGAAAAGTATGGTCCAAATTGGGGGGTTCCATCTAAAAAAAATTGTCTATGACGTCATATCTCGAATAACGATTACGTCACAAATTTGGATCGTATATCAAAAAGTGCATTTGTTTAAAACAAAATCGACGTGTCAGAGGATTTTTTTCGAAAAACTCTTAATTTCAGAAATAATGAATTTATTCCTTACTTTTCGAAAGCACTGTATATAGATTGCTCTATTTTTGATTGCAATATAGGTTGCTATATAGGCTGTAAGTGCAACAAAGACAGCTTCAATTAGACACTTACAAAGGAAAATGAAAGAGTGACCGATTTGTTGTCATTGCAACTGTTATTTTACAATTATTATACAGTGTGTCTACTTAAGTTCGCACCACATGGAAAACTTTTTTTTATTATTAATTTTACGAAAAAAAGTTATTCTTCATAAAAAGTTCTGCATGTTTTAAAACCTAAAATACAACCATCAGATAATTTTTTTTAATCCGTATACGAGGTTTGTCAAAAAAAATGTGTTTTTTGTTCAAAAGTAAAGTACCTTTATTTTTGAAAATATCGGAAATTGTTATTAAGAAAAGTTGATCAGGACTAAAAATTACGTTCAAATATGTAATTACATCTAATTATAAGTAAGTAATCTATTTTTCTTCTTTAAACTATCAACATCTAGCAATGTTTCTATGTAGTCGATAATTATTGTAAAATAAATTATTTTGTTATCATTTATTTCAATTCATAATCAAACTAATGCAACATAGAGGTTAAGAGATGTAAATGTAATTAAATTTTTAACGAATAAAGGGATACCAGATAAAAATTTCCAATATTTTCAAAAATAGATTTACTTTACTTTTGAGCAAAATTCATATTTTCTGACAAACCTCGTATACGACTGAAAAAAATTAGATATCTGATGATTGTATTTTAGGTTTTAAAACATGCAGAACTTTTTATGAAGAATAACTTTTTTTCGTAAAATTAATAATAAAAAAGTTTTCCAGAATTATTGACTTCTTTTACTATTAGAATTTACTAATATTACCAGACTTTAGTAAAGTCACCAGATTTAGTGACTTTTTTTTTAAATCTAGTAAAATCACCAGATTTAGTGTTCCAGAAGAATGATCCAGAATCATTTGGAACTGTCTAAAACCATTTAGAACTGTCTAGAATCATTTAGAACTGTCTAGAATCATTTAGAACTGTCAAATATCTTTTAGATTTGGCTAGAATCATTTAGAATGATCCAGAATCATTTAGAACTGTTTAAAACCATTTAGAACTGTCTAGAATCATTTAGAACTGTCAAATATTTTTTAGATTTGGCTAGAATCATTTAGAATGCTCCAGAATCATTGGGAACGCTCTAGAAAAAAGACAAAAATCGCTGTGAAAGGAAAAAGAAAGAGTGACTGATTTGTGTCATTGCAACCTTTTTCACTCTGACAACTGTCATTTTAATCAATCTTTCTTTGTTCCACTCATAGAAATGACTCATATTGCAATCGAAAATGGAGGAAGGTGTATTAGAAAATACTCGTAATTAGACGATAAATTAATAAACAATTCGTGTACAGTTGGTGTAAAAATAAATGTCATTACTGTCGTTGTAGTTGCCAAAAAAGCATTGTGACCAATTTTTAAAAGTAAATTACACTAAATAGATTAAGATTAATATACCTGAGGAATTTCGTTTAATAGACGATTCGTGCTAAGCGATACGCCCTCTGGCGGATATTCTAACAACCGAGCTAAGAGCCATTGTGCGGCTATTGTCTTTGTTGTTGTTATGACAAAACATACTAGTTCAGTTGTGTTTTTTAAGTTTTCGTGTTTGTTGGAGATTTTTAAAATGAACCAATATTGCTGCGTTCCCCAGTGTTCATCCTGGATCAAGCGAAATCCTAATTTAAGTTTTCATCTTTCACCGAAAGCAGGAAAATGGAAGGTTTTTGTGGGAACTAAGCCTGGATTTACTTGGAACTAATTGATAGAAGATTGTTGTGGATATGAACATTAAAAATCGGAAAAAATGTATCAAATACGATTAAAGTGTGCTCATTACATTTTCTCGAAAGTGATTTTTTACAGAAAGGTAAGTGTATTATGATTCAAATCCATTATATTCCATTCTTTTCTTTTTAGTTAAAGTAAAACGTAGAACATTAAAATCATTTGCTGTGCCCTTCCAAATTCTACCAAGGGTTAAGTGATACATCCCCAGGACCATATTCAGAGAAAAAAACGAGAAAAGTGCCCAACAAAAGTGTGTCTAACCTGTGAACCAATGGATATAAATATTGAGGATGAACAGGAGGAAATTTATTGAATAATATAGATTTTGAGAACCAAGAAGCAGCAGAAGCATTACTAAATGTATTTGAAATATTTAATTTTTAATTTGTTTAGCTTTTTTTCTAAAAATAAAAAGTATTTTTTTAAATGGGGTTATGGTTTTTACAATTTATTTTGTCGCTAACCTGACACTATCAACTATCTACAAGACGTTAATACTGTTATAAATGTCCTTAATAATCGAAATCTACTATAAAAATACAAATTTTACTTAAAAAAATATCTAAAAAAGACCGATTTTATTATACACCACAAACGTAAACAACAGTTTAATGGTACTTAGCTAGCTTTCATCTGTCACCACCATGGCGCTGCGAGCTTAACCCGAGTCGTCTATATTAGCAAGGGGGTGATAGAAAATGTTAAAAAGCAGAATTATTAAAACATAAAAAAATATATATGTCAAAATTCAATTCAGTTTGTATGTAAAATTATTTTTGTTTTCTTATAATAGGTTGGTAGGCACTGACTGTCAAGTTGCATTGTTGCCGGTTGTCATTCGATCGGTACTTTTAATTTTCAATTTCGTATTCCTTTTTCTAATTTACTAGCCTCAACTATTTAAAGGCTATTCAGCCGAATTTTAGTTAAACCCCCCGATTTAGTGACTTTTTCAAAATCTAGTAATATCCCCAAAATCTAGTAATATCCCCAAAATCTAGTAATACCACCAGAATCTAGTAAAAATCACGAGATTTAGTGACTTTTTTTCTCGCCATTTTGCCATTCAACAAATTTTTCGACTTTTTTTTAAATCTATAAATATCCCAAAAATCTAGTAATATTCGTTTTACACCAACTGTACCCTCATACTCAAAAAAAAAAAAAAAAAAAAAAAATCATATTACCTGCTATGCAAATGTTGCAATTGCAATTGGAAACCATCGACTTGCTCCCGCAATTCCTCGTTAACCCTTTGTAATTTCCTCGCGTTATTTCCGGCCGCGTCCAATTCGTCCTCGGCCTCGGCCAAGTCTCGTTTCAACTCTTCCACTCGATCCCGAAGCTTCTTTACTTCGGCCTCGTACTGTTCGGCTCTTCGGCCACAATGCTGAAGTTCCGTCGATTTGTCCTGAGCGATTTTCTTCAGTTTGTTGTGCGCATGCCTCAACTCGGCCAGTTCCTGAACGGAAGGGGAAATTATACAGTGGGTCACAAAAAGTTCATCTCTAAACAACAGTTGGTACCTGCCTTCCTGCCTAGCACCAGGGCCTAGACCACGGTTTGTAGAATAATACGGTTGTCTCGTAACTTTTTAGCCAATCACGCACGGTATCTCGTGACGTCACAAGAATTCGAGTGGCAAATTCCGAGCATCTCAAGTGTAATGAAATTAATGTTTTTAATAATATTTACAGGGTAAAATATTATAAAAATTGAGACAATGGACAGGAATAATAACTAATAAAAGTATATTTTCCATAAATATATTAAAATTTAAAAGGAGACGGGTATTTTTTGAATTAAATGATAAATGGTTTATTTGTATACCTATTAAACGGTATATATTATTATAGTTATTTCGGGCCCTAAATTCTTAAATAAAACAAAGTATTACGACAAAATATATTTATATCAAAGTAAATATAAATAAACATTATAAACATATAAATAAACGAGATATATAATAAATAAACGATATGAGATGAAACGAATAAATATGAATAAACGATTTTAATTTTATTAAGTGCGGATCTGTAATTGTAATTTTTGTTGGTTTATGTGAATGGTAATTCAAGTTCAATAGGTCTATTTCAAGAATTTTCATGCAAGTGTTAAGTAAATCTGGTTTTATTAAAGAAAAAATAATTAAAATCCCTTCAATTACAATTTACATGGACAAAAAATCTCATAATGTTCATTTTAACGTTTAAATTTTAGTAGAAAAACGGCATGCGGGAAAATAAAAAGTTGATGAATACATTCAGTTTTTTATGCTCTTTCTGAATTTCAAATTAAATTTTTAAAAATATGATGTATAGGGTGTTGTTTTAGGGTCGGTCAAATTTTATTAACTTTTCTAAATCCGGACCTGGATTTTGTAATTTTTTAATGTGGCAATAAATTGTACTAAAGGTATAGAATATCTATGCCAAATATCAAAAAAATATACTGAGTGATTCAAAAGTTATAGGTGTCGAAAGAAATGGGCCAAATTCAAAAAACACCCGGTTATAACTCGGTTATAAAGGGCGGAAGATCCATAGTATATGGGTTTTTTGTAATCCCCTGGGTGACCTCTATACAGGGTTAAAATATTGCTCTTTCCCTATGAAACACCCTGTATTTACCTGACTCTCCGCGATGAAAGAAATATATAATGTTTAGAACAAATTAATTATTGAAAATAGTCTGTAAATAGTCTGATATACTACTAAGAAGTTAAACACAATAAAAAGAAAACACGAAAACTCAAAAAACTTCAATAGAAACCACAATTAACATCAACAAAAAAAGAAAACTACGAAGAAAACTACGAAAACTCGTAACGATTAGTAGGCTCAAGTAAACTCTAGCATACTGGTGACGTATTCCCCCCCACTTTCGCCAGCAAAGTGAGGTAACCGTATTATTCTACAAACCGTGACTTGAGCCTACTAATCGTTACGAGTTTTCGTAGTTTTCTTCGTAGTTTTCTTTTGTTGTTGATGTTAATTGTGGTTTCTATTGAAGTTTTTTGAGTTTTCGTGTTTTTTTTTTATTGTGTTTAACTTCTTAGTAGTATATCAGACTATTTACATACTATTTTCAATAATTAATTAGTTCTAAACATTATATATTTCTTTCATCGCGGAGAGTCAGGTAAATATAAAAATTGTTACTATATGATTTGAAATTCTTTTTTAATATTTTTCCAATATTCTATCGTAGAAAAGACTGGAACAGTTTGTTATGTGGATACTTGTAAAAGTAATAGTGAAAGGACAAAAAAGGAAGGGGAATTAATAAGATTTTTTACTTTCCCCCAAAAAAGGAAGTTTTGAAACAATGGGTTCGTCGGTTTGGTTTTAGGTATAATGTATGGTACATAAAGTCACACTAACATTTACTAAAGAATTCAAAAATGTTATAATATATAGGGGGTTCCATTAAAAAAAGGTAACTTTAGTGAATTTCTAATACTGAGCCACCCTGTATATAGACGAAACTATTTTAATAATACGCAGTATTATTGTACCTACCTTTTGAAAAAAAATCAAGTCGATATCTCAATTAGGTAAAAAGTTATGGGACTTTAACGCGACCCTCGGTCACCCTGTATGTTTATAATGTTTATTTATATTTACTTTGATATAAATATATTTTGTCGTAATACTTTGTTTTATTTAAGAATTTAAGGCCCGAAATAACTATAATAATATGTACCGTTTAATGGGTATAAAAATAAACCATTTATCATTTAATTCAAAAAATACCGTCTTCTTTTAAATTTTAATATATTTATGGAAAATATACTTTTATTAGTTATTATTCCTGTCCATTGTCTCTATTTTTATAATATTTTACCCTGTAAATATTATTAAAAACATTAATTTCATTACACTTGAGATGCGCGAAATTTGCCACTTGAATTCTTGTGACGTCACGAGAGACCGTGCGTGATTGGCTAAAAAGTTACGAGACAACCGTATTATTCTACAAACCGTGGGCCTAGACAGCCTTATGAGAAATTTTAGACGTTTATTTAGTCTCGGCACTATTGATAGATGGCGCAACAATAGTTTATTCCAGGTCAGCGCAAGCAACCCGCTCAACGCCGTATTTCAAAAACAATAATGGCGTCTTGTATTGATTCGCATTGATTCGCATCGATTCTGCATATTTTCTCTTGTAGTGCAAGATGAAGTTAAAACCGAAAAGTTTTTTTTTTTATTTATTTCGTTTGTTTTCGAGTGAATTTAAAGAGCATTGTTATTGCCTGTAAGTTGTAAAGTTTTGTGTATTGTTAGTGAATTGTTAGTGAAGAATTGTGTAAAGTTTAAGTTAAATCTTAACGTTCTATTGCTTGTTTTTATATCGCGTAGTGAATTTTTCAGGTTCCGCCATAATATTTCAGTTTATTTAGTGATTTTATTTAAATTTAATGAATTTTGTCATTTTCTTCAATATATTTTTAAGTAGAAGTGTTTGTGATTACTTATTTTATGAGAGTAGTTACTTTTTATACTATCCAATTTCTTGTAAAACTTGTACAATTTATTTTACTATCTATATCAAAATTATATACATTTTATAATAATGTAACAAATTGTACAAGTTCTACAAGAAATTGGATAATATTAAAAGTCGGATAAAAATCGAATAAAAAACCTATATTACTAATTTTAGTGTAGAGTTCTACCTGATACTACCCTTTTACTAGGCAACATACATTAAATTAGTACAGCTACTATTCTCAGAGTGCGCTCTAGAACGGTATGGGACTTTTCTGCGCCGCCGTTTCTTCGCTGCCCGTTCATCGCCGCCCTTTCTACGCCAAGACGGTTCTACGCCAGCCGGTTCTACACCGGCTGTTTCTACGCCAAATTCTGGTAATGTAAGGATAGGCATTTTAAAGAATAACATGTACACTGGAAAAGCTGATTCTTTTCATGTTGTTAAATCAATGGTATTTCGCGAAAAACCTTTATTAATTAAACCACAGAATTTGTTCCAGTTAAACTTTCCACTCTGTATTAAATCCTTGCATACTGCTGCAACTTGTTAAAATAATAATTCAAATGGACTAGACAGACTTATACAGTATGTTGCCACTAATAAGGTTCACTGCTTATAAGACTTCTTATTACAATCAAATTTGAAAAACCCGATTCATAGTACAGTAGTAGCCGTTGGTTGTAATCACGGATAATGTTATCAATCGCTTATTGTTATAAAAATACGAGTATGTTAGTCCCCTTCATCCTTATTCTATTATAGATATTAAGAAATAATCGCGTATTGTAATCCAAACTTCGCTTATTGTTATCGATTTTGACCATTCTCTCCATTTTTCGACAATGTGCAATCTATTAAAAATCAATTTAGGGTATTATTTAAATGAGGCATAATAAAAATAATCTGCTGCCAATCTAAATTTTCCCTTTAAGGGATTGCAAATAGAATTCGTAGAAATTCATTAAAAATTTTTGGTCATTAAAAAAATAATAGCACCTCCTCCTTTGATTGGGTCTTAGTTGACTTGATTGGGAGCGAATTTGGATTTGGTATAAATATGGGGTAGGTGGCATTAACACATCATTTTAAGTTGATTTGGTTGTGAGTAAACGTGAATTGGTATTTTTTGTGAATAAGTAAATCAACTAACTTAATAATGGAACCAGTAGTTCTTAGCAAAAGAGGGAACGAGAAGTTTTCCTATAATGGATATTTGTACGTATTCGACAAAAACAGTAAAAGGGATAATACTATAAAATTTTGGCGCTGTGAGGAAGTGGGTCGCTGCAAAGGAAGAATTCATACGAAAGATGGAGATGTGATCAAACAAATCAACAATCATTCTCATCCTTCGTCGGCAGCAGCCATAGAAGTAGCAACTTTTGTTACCCAAATAAAACGTCGTGCAGGAGAAAATATGGAGTGTACGAGTGAAGTCATAAATCAGTGCGCAGTAAACGTTCCTCAGGCTGTATTGTCCTCGATTCCAAATAATACAGCCTTGAGGAAAATGATTAGAAGAAAACGAAATCAAATTAATGCTGCACCCGCTGATCCCGTGGACCTAAACGATTTAGTTTTGCCAAATGCATATAAGATATACGCATATCAACCAGGAAGAGAGGAGACTTTTTTGTTAAGCGATGATGGAGAAGGAGCAAACAGAATTTTAATATTTGGAAGAGAAAGCTGGTTGCAGAATTTTCATAATTCCGAAACATGGTATGCGGATGGTACCTTCGCAATAGCACCAAGGCTATTTTCTCAAGTATATATCCTAATGGCAAGAAAACATGGAGGGGTGCATCCTATATTTTATGCACTATTGCCTAATAAGCAGCGTATTACATACACTCGTATGTTCGAACAGATAAAAACGCTACTGCCAAATTTAAGTCCGACATCTATTATTTGTGATTATGAATACGCCGCTTTTAGTGCTATGAAAGATTGTTTTCCGGATGT